CACGGACCACCTTTTCTTTCACTGGACACAGTCAGAGCCACCCCGTCTCCCCTATCCCTGACCTTAGGATGTAGCTCGCCAAACCCAAACTCTCCTCCGCACAGTGTTAAAAACATGGGTGTAGTCTTCCCGACTTTGTTCTGAGAACAGCTCCTCTCTTCAGCTCTAGCTGTTAGTGCAGGTAATCTCCTAACAGCTGATCCCTCCTAAGTGGAGACCACAGTCCACAGTCCTGGGTCCTGACAATCAGTGACTCCCTTCCTTGTGCTCTAGCAGGTGCCAACAGTGGGATGCTGCAGCTGCCTGCCTATCTGACTTGAGCACTCTGGTCTCTCCCCATTTTCTCCCGCAGGATCAAGGAAGGTGGTATTTTTTGGCTTTTCTGGCAGAAGAATTTCTCTGTGTTTTGAGTCCCAACCTAAATGGCTCCTCCTTGGGGGCAGAAATATGGCTGTCATGACCATGCCTGGGTCACAATGACTGGGAAATAGTGGCTCAGGACATTGCAGTTTGATTCGTTTCATGTTCCACATAAAGGAGGATAAAATATACGATATGGAGTGTAGTGGCACCAGAGCAGATGTTGTGGGGTTTTCTCCAGGACTTGTATGTCTGGCTTTGGTGATTGGGAGATGGTGTGACATTCACTGAAATGGAGGATGCAGGAGGAGGAGCAGGTATTGGGGAAAATGATATTCAATTTGGGGCATGTTGACTGTGAGGTGCTGGTGGGTCATCCAAGTGGAGAGGTCCGGTGGACAGTTGACTACATGGTGGGGTGAGGGAAAGAAGTTATCTGGAGCGAACAACGGTGACTCTCCCAAATCTCATTTAAACCATGGGTTTGGATAGGGCCGTTCAAGGACCTTGCACAGATCAGAAGAGTTCAGAGCCAAGATGGAACCCTGGCGGAGAAGAACAGGGGAAGGGAGCTCTAGGAAAGGAAACTGAGAAGGAGCAGCCAGAGAGGCAGTGGTGAAACCAAGAGACAGGGTTAAAAAGAAAAAACGGGCAATGGAGGGCAGAGTTTCAAGGAGGAAGTAGCCAAGAAAGTCAAATGACTAAGAGATTACAAGTAAGATCAGACCTGCAAATGTGCACTGGACTTGGCCACATGAAGGTCAAAGTTGACTTTAGAGAAAGCATTTCAGGGGCGGGTAAAGGAGAAGCCAGACTTCAGGGCGTGGAGTGAGGAAGAGGAGAGGGAGGTAAAGGGAAGGTAAGGAGAGGACAATGGATGGAGGACAGTGGGAGGCACTAAGGTGGAGGAGGGAGCAGCCAGGGCACAGGCAGAGGGGGGTGTGAGGCCCTGCCTCTGCAGAAGGAAACTTGCAGGTGATAGGGAAAGCTGAAGAAGTTCTTTTCCTCTGGGAAGTAGGAGGCAGAGCCATCTGCTGAGGGTAGGGTAGGAGGTGGTGGGAAGGAGTTGAGGAAAGAGGTGAGAGGAAAAGTCAGTGAGGGGAAGGAGAATGAAAGTGACTAGAGATTCACAGCATTGCCTCGCCTGCTGACGGGCCGGTGAGGTGGGAGACCGTGAACTCGCAGCTCACCTACTCTCCATGGTTGTGTGGCTTTCTCCCTTCACGTTGACAGCTCGCCATAGGAGACATCGGGTTGATCCAGCATTGGAGTGTTGCTGGGCAAAGCGGTAAACACCAGACCATAGGCCCTGAGCTGGGTTGGGAAGCAAGTTAGAGCCTACACAAAGGAGGTGAGTGACCAGCAGAAAAGGCCAGACGTCGTGGTATGTGTTGGGAGCACAGGTGAAAGGCAGCAGAACTGAAGGATGTGGATGGTCAGATACTGGATTGTGAAATGTCCAAGGTGGAGCTACTCCCCATGAGAGTCGGTGCCCACGAGTGTGCTGCTTTTTGGGGGGGGAAGTGAATGCCCTAAGAAATGAGGAGGCCGAGGAAGAACAACGCTAGGGCATCAGACAGCCTTCTCATCCATACAGTCCAAGAAGGAAGTAGGGTGATGGTGGGACTAGGGATGCGAGGACACTAAGTGCCCAAGTCCTGTGAGTGTTGGGAAAGAAGTAGGAAATCAAGGGGAAATGGGAGATCTGAGTGACCAGAGACTCAAAAGATGCATGTTTATACAAAGATGGAAGAAAGAATGTCTGGACGTGGCAATGAGAGTAAAAATAATGCTGGCCCCACCCCTCAGATACATATAATGGGATCCTGGGTGAGGGGAGAGCGTCGGCTCATTGTAGCAGGAGCAGGGGAGAATGTTCTCTCCATAGCTGAAGAGTAGTATTTCGTCTGTCCTCTGAAACCTCTCTTGTAGGTCAGCAGTGAGGGGAATGGGGGGGGACAGAAGCACAGGCAGCGCTGAGTGAGACACTGAGGGTCTGTCACGGGGCAAGGGGGGGCGCCAGCCTTTTGGTCAGGGTGAAAGATGGCAGAGATGGGAAAGCTGGGAGCCTAACCAGCCTCAAGGGATTAAGTCCTGTTTCTATGCCCTGGGGGTTGGCGCACTGAGGCCAGATGCCACTTGCTGCCTAAGACTCAGGGTTCCATAAAGACCCTGGCAAGAGGCTAGTTTGCACCTGAGCAGGCTCTTCCCGTGCAGAGACAGGGACCAGGTTGTGTCTGGGGGGTTTGTGGTACTATGCCTGCCCTGGACTATTTCTCCTTAAGAGGGACTGATCTGATCTTCAAGTCTTCCCTTGAAGCTTAGCTCTGACTTGCAACCTTATATTTTTGAGAAGGAAGAAGGAGAGGAAGAGGAAGGATTGTCATCATGACAGAAAGACTGGTTAAGTCAGAGGGGAAACTAGCCTGAGTGGGGGGGTGTTGGATGGGCATCAGCACTAGACCCTAGCCCTGAACTCTCCTGGGACACTCGTTCTCACCCCACTCTCCCTTCCCTGGAGGAAAGCTCACCTCATCTGCTAACCTTAAATTCCTGCAGTCTTGGTCTGTAATACCTAGGCTCCTTGATATTCACTTCTGTGGAAAGCCAGGAAGATGTGAGGCTATGAGGCCAGTGCCAACGGAAAAGGCACCGGGTGGAGGTAAAAAAAAAAAAAGCAACTTGAAATATTTACCTGGTGCTTTTCCTACACATACCCACCCATCTGGCATGAGTTAGGAATGAGAGGTTGGCTTGTGTTTGAAAAAGCAAATGGTTCAAGGTCTTAAGCACCTAGCCATCAGCGGAACACAAAGTCCTCATGATCTGTCTCTCAGTCCCGCCCACCGCCCCATCCTCCAGCTAAAACGTGGATCCGGGAAGTGTGCAAACAGAGGTGATATATACTCACCAGTCATTCCCGTTTTCTCCACCTTGGCCCGGGTCTACCCACTCAATTCCATCTAAAAAACAGTTTCCATCTCTTTACTTTTACCAACAGTCTTGGTTAAACATCAGAAAAGAGACAAGTTACACAATTCTCAGAAATGGGAATTTTATAAAAAGGCATTTTTCTCTTATATCCATAAAATGATATAATTTTTCCAAGTATAGAAATGTGTCATAAATTATACAGAATGTTCCTTAATTACAGCTCAATGCAACTTGGTACTTTCCTCCCTCCCTAAAAAATGAGAGAGAACCAAAAAAATAATATATATATAACTGTATATATATATATATATATTTATATTTATATAATATAGACAAACCAAATATGAAAAAAATCATTTCCTCTTTGGTATAAAAATCAGACTCTCACCTTGAGAGACACACAAACACATGATGGTGGGTTTGTAAACTGTGTGTGGCCAAAAGGGACTTCCCTGTCAAGCTTTCCCCTCCCCCATTCCCTGCCCACCCCACCTCACCACAGCCCACCTCCAGTTCCCTTGGGGCTCCCACATTGAATGTTTAAGATCTCCATACTCCACCCCCAGCTCCACACCAGTCCTGAGTACCCCCCTCCACTACCAAAGACAAGGAAAAGATTCTTCCCAAGACTGGGATTTGGTAGCAACTAACTTGGGAAAAACCTAATTGGAGGAATAGCTTCCTAGGTGTGGACCATGGAGAGGAAGGACAGGTGTGCCAAGGCCCAGCTGAGTCCCGTCCAGATCAAGCCAGGCACTGAGTGGCAGTCTCCTGGCCTGAGCCTGGTTTTGCCCTCCTCTTCCACCACCACCACCCAGTACACGGACTCATTTCTTTCCAGATGCTGGGCCTGGAGCAGGTGGGAACACTTGTTTACCAGAAGGGAGAAGCAGAGGCCAGCTTCCCCTTTCTGCCTTGCCTCCGGGTGCTGAGCTTCTCCTTTCGAGCCCACCTCAGGTCCAGGGTGTAGGTGTAGGAAAAGGCCAACGAGGAGGGAGGAGGGAAGTCATTAAGGGACTCTGCTAATTAACTTGGGTCTAAATTCAAAATTAAAGAAACTTTTTTTAGGACTAAATTTCATACCCAGCTGTAGGTCACTGAGAACAATGGGGTCACTTTCCCAGGCTCCAGCCCAATACCAGCAGGACTTATGGAATCCAGGAGTTGATATATGTGTGTGTTGGAGGAGGCGGTAGCACTTCACTCTCCAGGTGAGGAAGGAAATGGGACCAAACCCTCCTTCTACTCTCCCACCCTCTGCTGACAGAGATCTCCCACCCTGGTCAGCCTCTCTGTCTTCATGGGCACCAGGCACTGGAGGGCCACCTGTAACTGTGGCTCCTCTTAAACCACTCCAAATCCTGCCAGGCTGGGGCACCCCTATGTGCCAGCTCCTCTTCCCCAGGCGAGTTAAGACACCAACCACAACATAAAAGTCACACAAAGGCCTCCTCCACTCGCCAAATAAAAAAGACAAAACCAAACTGGACACAAACACAAATCAAGGAGAGACATACACGATGTGAGGGGCCCAGAGGCCCCAGCAGGTCTCTGGCTTCCCGGCATGATACATTCTTGTGTAATTCAGGAACAGGGGCTCTAGGGACCCCCTGGGGAGTGGGAGTAAAAAAATACAGAGATTACAGTCTCCCTGTGGGCTCCCAGGCAGGGCAGGGGCAGACCCAATCTCTCACAGTTTTTTCTTCTGTTTTTGGTTCCACATCTGGTCCCCGACTGGGGCTGGTTCTCGATGATGCCCCTAAGCTGCCCTTGGGGCCTGCCCCCTCCACCCTCCCAGCTGGTGGGAGGGCCCATAGCTGGGGATGCCCCAGCCATTCCTGGTGGGATCAACAGGACAGAGTCTACCAGGGGAGATAGGAGAGGCAAGGGATGAGGACCCGCAGTTATTAGACGCTGTCCTCTCGGCGGCCGGCCAGCCCTGTGTGCTCTGATCACCAGCATGGGGGTGTCCCAGTCCCAGCCTTCAACCCTTGAGGGGCTTGTCCCCTCCGCTGGGGCTGCTGGCACTGTCACTCTTTTTCCTGCGCAGGCTCTCAATCCAGCTGGAGCTGGAGCGGGTGGTAAAGCTGGAGAGCGCAAGGGAGCTGAGCCGCATGTTTTTGCCAGACATAATGAGTTCCCCGAAGCCCTCCTGGTGGGAGAAGGCGTAGCCTGAGCGCCGGGAACCTGTGCGACCCACACGCCGCATGCAGCGGTGCTGGGCCTTCTGCTTCTTCCGCACCAGCTGGGTGTAGCGGACCTGGTGGGGGGCACAAGGGAAGGGGCCTCCGTCAGCGCGGCAGTGTCAGACACCACCACGGAGGAGGGACCCAGAGCACCCAGGACAGGGTGGGCACGGGAACCTCCATGGCACATGGGTGTCTGTCTCGAGGAAGAGCAGACAGCCACCACTGACACACTAACAGTCCGGCAGCCAGAAACTGCAGCGCATGAGCATTTAAGTCAGAGGCCTTTCTGACATACCATCTCTGTCCCCCAAGCAGACAGCCCAGCTTCTCACCGTGTCAGAGAGATCGGGCTTCAGGTGCAGCTTGAGGAATCGAAAGGCAACCACAGGCATAATGCAGACAACCGTGGTGAGCACGATGGTCAGCCACACCGTGGGCTGGGCCAGGGTGTTCTGGGCATTACCTGGGAACACAGAGGAGTCAGAGGCCTTGGGAGTCACGAAGTGGACAGAAGGGCAGTCTCCAGAGTTCCCCATTTCTGTTTCTGGCAGCCCCACTTCTCTAGTCTCAAAACCTAAGTCATCCCTGGCTTCCCTCTCCTCCCTGCTCCCCAGTGTATACCTCCAAAGGTGACTCTAGCTCCCAACTCTCCCCCAAACTTCAGACTCGTTTCTTTAACTGCCTCATTTGACACCTCTGTTCAATATCTAACAGGCATCTCAGTTGCACGGGGCCAAACATGCACTTTGTTTCCTCCGCCCTAATCCACTCCGTGTCTTCCCCAGCTCAGGAAATGCCACCACCCACTCAGCTGCTCCAGCTAAAAGCCATGAAGTCAACCTTTATTCCTCTCTTTCTCTCTCTCTGACCCCTTATCCAATCTGTTGGCTCCAATTTTCAAAATACCTGTGGAATTCTACCACTTCTCACTCTATTCCAAGCCACCAGCATTCTCACCTGGATTACTGCTATAGCCTCCTAACTGGTCTCCCCGTTTCCACCTTGGCCCCCTACATTTTGTTATCCACAAAACAGTAACAGTGATCTTTTAAAAACATAAATCAGTTTACAACATTTCCCTACTCAAAACCCTGAAATGGCTTCCTGTCATGTTTAGATTAATATTGAAAGTTTTTACTCTGACCAAAAGGGCTTAAATGATCTGGACCCATTCTCCTCATCCCCCTCACCTCAGCCCTACCCTCCAACCTCATATCCTAAATACACACACACACACACACACACACACTCCTCCTCACAAGGCCCCACCTAAGGCTTCTGTCGCTGTTTGCTCTTCCTGGACTGTTCCTTCCCAGACGACCACATGGCTTGCTCCTTCCCTTTATTCAGATTTCTCTGTGCCAACGCCCCTTCCTCAAGAGGTCTTCGCTGACAACTCTTATCCCTCTCTACCCTGCTTGATGATTTTTATAAGACTTATTAGTTCCAGACATTATATCTGTTAACTTGTAAACTGTTTGTCTCTCTCATTGAAATATGAAATCCAAGAGGGCAAGGATTTTGCCTGTTTCGATCACTGCCGCATCCCCAGTAGCCACAGCAGTGGGTGACACAGAGCAGCTGCTGACCGAATGCCCAGTGGATGAATGAGTGAACAGATCTAAAGCAAGCGCCAAGACCTGCAAATGCGTCTTTCACCTCATGCCTCCCAACCAGCCCCTCTCTGCACCCACCATGGCCACCCTGGGCCCAGTTCTCAACAGTCTTGCACTCAATCACCACAGTAGCTTCCTCATTGGCCATCACTGCCAGATTCATCTTTCTAAAGTGATCCTTTGATGCCACTTGCCCCTCTCTCCTCAAAAAAAAAAAAGACTCCTTGACCTGACAGCCTGGCATCCTGATCCCTCCAATGCCCCACCATTCCAGCCTCTCTTCCACTGCTTCTCAATGCATATTCTCGCCCCACGCTAGCAGAGCACTCTCCCTTCCCTAGAAACAAGTGGCCTTTTCACACTTCCAGCTCTCCAACTTGGAGTCTGACTCCCCAATCCCAGCTCCACTCACAGCAGCCTCCTCTGTGGGACTATCCCTGACCACCCCACAAGCATCATTTTGCTGACCATGAACCCTGCCACCCCTTGACCTCCCTTGGAGCCCTGACCTCCCATGGCCTCCCAGTAAAGAACTGGCAGGCCGTTCTTTACTTTCATGGATATGCAAGTTCTCTGAGGGCAGGGCCTGGGTCAGATACACCTAGATATCCCCCCAGAACCTTACAGAATACCCGGCACAAGAGGAGCGTTGAATAAATGCTCGTGATGTGCAAACTGGCTACCTACCCTGTTAGTCCCAGAACAGGTGTGATTCCTTATTGATTCAAGAGGAAGCTACAGGGACTCACCTACAAACCGGAACTGGTTTGGAAACATGTCGAAGAGCCCATTGCTGTGCATGGCAAAGAGGATGGCAAAGTAAACAGCTAGGCTGCCCCAGATGAAGAAGTGGTTGATGGCTGTCCAGTAGCCTGTATCCAGCCCAATCTGCAAAAAGCAGTTGTCATTGGCAGAAGGAGCATCCCCTAAAACCCCATTCCCCGTCCGAGTAGTGCCCAGGTCAGCCCCAGGAAAAAGATGTTTACTCCTTCCAGAGGTGAGAACAGTTCCTGGTCTGCCTCATACCTGCACGCTGACCACAATGACCAGTGAAGTAGCCACAGTGACTGCAAAGGACTGGTAGTCGGCCAGCTGAGTGCCATCATCCCGAGTGGCCTCAGCAAACACCCCGTAGGGGATGAAGAACATGAGCACGGAGGTGTAGATGCCCTGGGCGATGCAGATGAAGAACTCCCGCTTGTTGAAGAGGAGGTTCAGCTGGCCTGGCTCATACAGCTTGGGATACTCCATGCTCCGCTGCTCTGGGACATCCTGTGTGGGGAGGGTCAGGTGGCAGAAGAGGCCTCAGAAGCTGCCATTTTGCCTCAGGATAGTCAAGGGCAGACCCTGTCCCTGCCTCTTCCTTTCCAAATTCTTTGATAGCTAGATCCCACCTCAAGCCAACTGTCCCCAATTAATCTTTGTTCAGCAACCCAGGGGACTTACAGGTCAGCTACAGCTGAGACACAGAACCCAACCGCACCCCCCTGCTGAAAGAACTGCCTTCCCAGGGACCACAGGCAGTGGGTACAAGTGTCACACACCCACCACTATCAGTGTGACTCCTTCACAGACTGTCCTTCTCCCTATCCTGCTTGACCATCAAACCTTCCCATACCTGATCGAAGACCCCCATAGCCAGGACCGGGAGGGAGGTGTACACGATGTTATAAAGGGTAATGAAATACTGGTCATAGACGGTCTGCAGAGAGAACAGAGAGCAAGAGAGGAGTGAACACGCAGTCTGTCTTCACTACAAATCAAGCAGAGGAAGAAAGCCAATGTGGCATACGTGGAGCCCTAAGGAATTTTCTGGAGCTCCCTTTCCACTCCTTCAACAAGTATTTTTTTAATGCATGTACCAGATAATACCTAGGCCCTAGGGGACTGAACAATGAACAGGACCGATACAATCTCTGCCCTTAAGGAGCTTACAGATAGGCGAGCCAGTGGACTGAGAGCTCACTACCTGGGCCGAGAAGCCGCAGAAGAAGCCAAACCAGAAGTGGACCATCGTGAAAGCAAAGTTCTTGTAGAAGAAATAGCAGAGGAACTTGCACATGCGCAGGTAGGACCAGCGCCCGTGCACCAGCAGGAGGCGCTGCAGGAACTTGAACTGGGAGAAGGAGTAATCAGAGGCCAGGACAGCCTGGATCCCTTCCTGCCCGCTGATGCCCACACCAATGTGGGCCGCTGCACAGACAAGAGGGTAAATATTGAAGATGGTCACACACTTCAGAATCCCACCAAATCAGAGCCCCCATACCTCATCATTCTCCCTCGTCCCGAGACCTTATGGGCCCTTCTCCCCACCCTCTCGCCCAGCCTACACACCTACACAGTCCACACTCACTTTTGATCATGCTGACATCATTGGCTCCATCCCCAATGGCAAGTGTCACAGCCTTCTTGTACTTCTTAACCAGTTCCACCACTTGTGCCTTCTGCAAAGGGGTCACCCGGCAGCAGATGACAGCTTTGCAGGCACAGGCTGTTTCCAGAAACTCTAGCTCCATGTCTGCCTCTAATGCATGGGCCTGGAACACAGAGAGCCCTGAGAGAGAGCCCCAGTCTTCCCAGGAGAGACCTGGGAGTCAGGTCCTCTCAGTCCCCTTCAAGACCACAGCCCCTCTAAAGTCAAGGGAAATAAGAACAAGATAAGACATAAAGGCCGTATGGAGAGAAGTGTTCTCTGGAGAGATACTGCCCAAGCTAAGGATGGTGACACTTACTAGGCTGTGCCCATTGATGACCAGGGCGTACTCCCCAGCGACAGCTTCCAGGACAGAAGTAAGCTTGGAAGAAGAAAGTTTCTCCTGGTAGGTGAAGCCATTGCCTATGGTGCGGGACGAGTCCATCATCTTCTCCCGGGCTTTCCTGTGAAGGGGGAAGTGAAACCGTGGCTTCCAGGACAGCAACAGGGATTCAAGCCATCCCAGGACCCATCAGCGTCCAGGCACCCCTGCCCGACACGTACACACAGTGCAGAACTGCCTGCCTCAGGCCTCTGTTTACCTGAGCTCCTCCCGCACTTCCAGGACAGTGTGGCCAGTGACTATGAACACCTCCGTCATGTCGTCCGTCAGCATCTTGCAGGAATAGCCAATGTTCACGGCCGTCTCTACCAAGAGAGAACGCAGGAGCTACGGACAGGCCCCCAACAAGGTCAGTGCACTCTCCTGCCTGATGTCCCAGGCTCATGCAAGGACCCGACAGGGCTACCGTCCAGATGCGATCTCCTCCGCTCTGCTGGGCTCTCACCTTGTTTGTCTCCGGTTAGCACCCAAATCTTGATGTTGGCCAGAGTCAGGAGGGCGATGGTCTCCGGAACTCCTTGCTGAAGTTTGTCCTCAATGGCTGTTGCACCTAGAAGCTGAAAGTACCACAAGGGTCCCTGGCACGAGAGCCCTGGGCACAAGCCCTCCTTGTCCACCCTCGGCCCCTTTTGCAGCCTATACCATCATGTCGCTCTCAACCTCCTCATAGATGCTGGCCAGCCTGTCCTCCCGGCTGTCCTGGGCCAGGCTGGCTTGGAGTCGTCTCTCAGCCCACTCCTCATAGTACTCTTCATCCAGATCCTTGTAGGCCAGTACCAGGGTCCTCAGCCCTTCCCCTGCGTATTCCTGGAGGCAGAGTCACGGTCACCCCTCACCCCCTCCCACAACACCAAGAGTAGCAGAACCGCAAGGCCCCTCCTCTCCTCACACTTACATTCAGGTGGTCAGTAGTGGTGTTGAGCAGCTCTTGGGTAGAGTGGTGGAGTCTGTCCAGCAGGATAGTGTCAGCCCCTTTGCAGTAGAGTCGGATCTTCCCCTCTGGATTCCGTACTATGAGCAGGACAGGGGGAGAAAGTCCCAGAAAACTTCAGGCAGGCAAAGATCTCTACCTTCAACACATCAGCAAGGGTCACCCAGCACACCTCACCCATTCCAGGCCCATGTGCTGCCCCCGAATCCCCCCAGCACCTGGTCCTGGCCTCACCTATGACTGACATCCGCTTGCGGATATTGTTGAAGTCTAGGATGGCCAGCAGCTGGTAGGTGATGGCTGTGCCCATCTCGTGGACGGTGATGGTTTTGGGGGTACGAGACCGAAATACAAAACCAAAGTTTCTGGCTGCAGTGACCAGGGCCCCCTCATCCGGGGACTGGGCTTTGTAGTACAGCTCCCCTGGGTGGGGAGGAAGAACATGTGTGGTGTAAGTGGCCATGCTCTTAGCCACGTGTCCCGCCCAGGAAGCCCCAGCTTGGCCACAGAGCAGAGCCCTAGCTCGAAGGCACGAGTCAGGTAGGGTAGAGCACAAGCCGGCTCCTCAACTCACCTTCGTTCTTTTCTTCTGACATGACGGTATGACAGAGGGAAAGGAGGCGGAAGAACTCATGCGTGTGGGGGTCCCCCATCTTGACAGCCTCCAAGAGGGTGGGGTCCCAAAATAAGAACTTCTTGTCAGCCAGGGGATTGAAGGAGAAGTCGACGGGTTCAGGCCTCTGGAGTAGGCATAGGGCAATTAGGAAATGGGGGCCACCACACTGCATCCCAGGGAGGGGCTTGTCTCCACCCAATTGTTCCCTGCCCTTCCAACTCTCGGTAGGAAGGCCCAAGATCCTGGCCACTGTGGACCCCAAAATTCCCATCTCTGCTAACAATTCTTCTTTAAAACACCCATTTCTCCAAGCAGCTTCCATTTCCTGACCAAACAACACATCACTCCTAACTATACCAACTGTCACTGGTCAGGTACCCTATGTTTAACTGGCATATAAAATAACTATGGAGGCTGGACCTTACCTCTCCCAATTCAGCTTTGTGTCCCAGGACATCAAACACATCACCTACATACAACCAGGACAGAAGGAGAAGCAATGTCAGAGCTAGAGATCTCTCAGAGCAGGGGGAGAAGGCTCTAGTACAAAACCCCACACGGACCTGGAACCTGCAACCCTAATCGCTGAGCAAATGTCACACAGATTCACTGCTAACTCAAGGGACAGGAGGCAACAGGCACCCTAGGTCCTCAGAACCCCAGGACTGAAAGTCATGGCAACCACTGCTCCCCATCTTTGTGCCTGTGACCCCCCCACCAGCTCTCCCAGGGCAGCTCCAATTCTATATCCCTCCCCCCAGGGCTCCTAAGCCCACTGGGGTGCCTTTCACCCTTTAGGCCTATACAACAGACAAAGCCTCACACACTGGCCATAGGCCTGGGTTAGTATAGAAAGCAGTTATGAGAAGGGCTCACTCTGCATAAAAGTCAGACACCACACATCTGGCCCCAAGCCATCCCAGCAGCTCAGCCACAAGGCCACTGTAGCAGGGCCACACTGGAAAGACCATGGTCACATTCCAGAGACTCACAAGGGCCCTGAACAGCAATGGGGAGAGTCTAGCACTCCACCGAGACAGCCAAGGTCCAACCTGACCAGGACGCTCAGAGGCCAGTGTCTTGGGCTTCACTCCACACAGCCAAGGAGCTCCCCTACTGCCTGGAGCTGAGACCAGGGTGAGGGCGTTAGCAGAGGACATGGGAAGCACTGTCAGTGTCTGCTTCCTGACACGGGATACAGAGCGGACCCTTTCAAGGCCCTGCACACCCAAGTAGGAAAGAAGTAAAACCCAAATGCCAAGACAACTGTGGGAGCCCCAGTACCACTTTCCTTCCAGGCAAGATGCGAGCTCCCGGTCCCCAGAGGCACTGCCATACCATAGCTGCGGCCATTGATGGAGCACTTGTTGAAGACCATGATGTTCTGAGTGAGTGTGCCCGTCTTGTCAGAGAAGATGTACTCCACCTGGCCCAGCTCCTCATTCAGAGTGGTGGTGCGGGCCTCTGCGGGCGTCCGCTTCTTCATGCAGAACATCTTCTTATCCCAGTTGATGAAGTAGCTGTGGCCCAGGCGGATGACTTCCACACTGCACAGGGGACAGGAGGTAAGGCTCGGGGCAGGAACAGGAGGAGATGCCCACCCACATGGGCCTCCGCCACAGGCCCTCCAGTTGGGGAGAAACGAGAACGGAGCAGACACCTGGGCACGGGAACCTGGGTGGGGAAGGGCAAGGAGAGCCTGAAGGTGAAGCCAGCCATGTATAGCCGGCAAAGGAACTCCCCGACCCGACCCGCTGAGGCTCTCCAGACAAAAAGGTGCACAGGGCCTGAACAGGCGGGGCAGACAGCGGAGGAAGAGGGACTGTAGACAAGGCACTCAACCAGTTCTTACCTCAGGACTAATAATACAGAAACCATGCAGAGAAAACAAGAGAAAGTGCGAGAGGGAAGGAGAGAAAAAAAAAGAGAGAAATAATGAGGGTGCTGTGCATGCCACAGCAACACAGACGCCCCCTCAGAGAGGGGCCGTGGTGGGGAAGTAAACCAGGAGGCTCTGAAGCCCACTCCTTACTCCCCAACACAGGCGGAACACTCTCCTTCCGCCTGGGCTCAGAGCTCCACAACCCTGACTCTGAGGCTTTGAGAAAGAACACGAGGCAAACCGAGATGCTGACTCTGAAAGGGAGTGGGGCCTCCAAAATCTGGGAGAGAATACCAGTTTATCATGGTACAGTGCTTTCAACATCCCAAGGTCTGTTCACATCTCTTCTTTGCTAGGCATGACCTTTGGGATGTCTCAGCATTTCCAGAAAGGGCTCTGTGTTTGGGTCCAATACAGCCAAGCAATGGGGCCACACCTGGAACCCTGCTTCCAACCCGACTGAGGCTGCTATCAGGATCCAGTTATCAGGCAAAATATGAACTGGCTGGAAATGTCTTCATAGCCTTTTCCCCACTCAGCTGATCAAGCAGCTCCTCCCACCTTCCCCCAAACACACACACAGTAACCTGACGAGACTGAGAAAGAAACTTAGGCAGCTACCATGGGCTTCGAGTGACCTTGGATACAAAACACGGACAGCAAAGCCCAAAAATGGAAAAAAAAATCACATTGTAAACATGAAATCATTTAAATAGTAATGAAGGGGCCGGCCCTGTGGCGTAGCGGTTAAGCGCGCGCGCTCCGCTGCCGGTGGCCCAGGTTCGGATCCCAGGCGCGCACCGAGGCACCGCTTGTCAGGCCATGCTGTGGCGGCGTCCCACATGAAGTGGAGGAAGATCAGCACGGATGTTAGCTCAGGGCCAGTCTTCCTCAGCAAAAAGAGGAGGATTGGCATGGATGTTAGCTCAGGGCTGATCTTCCTCACAAAAAAAAAATAAATAAATAGTAATGAAGAACAGAGTTGCAATGATCATGATGGACTTGCTACCACCCAATATTTGTATAGTGATTTAATTTTTAAAATGTATTTTCGAATCTAGTATCTTTTATCAAGATGTCCCTATGAAGAAGGTGGAACAGGTGCTATTATTCCTATTTTACATGAGAAAACTGAGGCCCTGAGTGATTGTGGAGTTGCCTGAGGTCACGTGCTAACAAGGAGGCAGGACTAAACCACAAACCTTCTGAGTCTCCTCTTTTTTTTTGAGGAAGGTTAGCCCTGAGCTGACATCTGTTGCCAATGCTCCTCTTTTTGCTGAAGAAGATTGGCCCTGGGCTAACATCCGTGCCCTTCTTCCTGTACTTCCAATGGGATGCCACCACAGCACGGCTTGATAAGCAGTGCACAGGTCTGCGCCCGGGATCCGAACCTGTGAACCCTGGGCCACTGAAACAGAGCGTGCCAACTTAATTGCTACGCCACTGGGCCGGCCCCCTAGTCCTCTCTTAATGCTCTACAAAAATTCAAACTGTACACCCTCAGTACAGAAACTCTATCTTCTACTCACTGTCATCAGCATTAGGATTCAAGGACAAGGGGAGAGACTTGAGGACTAGCTAGGGAATTCGTGTGAACAAAAAAATGGCACAGGGAAGAGTTCAGAGCATCTCCATAAAGCATTTCCTTAAAAATGTCACAGGTTCTCTTATCTCAAGTGCAAGGCACTGAATACAAAAGAAAATTTCTTTCTTCTGGACATTCTTCCTTCCTCCTCTTGCATCCCCCTCTTCCTGTCTACTCTCACTGGCCCAGTCCTTGTTAACATTCTCTTTACCTCAAACATCCTAGGCGTATACTTGATCCTATTCATGCTGCACACCACTTCCAGCCAACACTTCCTAAAGCATTCTTCAGATTTTTTTAAACAATCTTTTAATGGTTCACTAAGTATAAAGTCCACAGGCAAAGATTCAAGACCCTTCGCCATCGGGAACAAGCTTATGTTTCCAGCTTTCTGTCCCACAGCTCCTCACTTGTGGTCCATGCTCCTGCCAAACTGTTCCATGACCATTCCTAGGTTCCTATCTCCACGCCTTTGTTTCCAGCTCTCTCCTCCAGGCTCCACCTTCACCCATCCCAGCCACCTCTTCAGAGATGTCCTCCCTGATTAACTGCATGGGGAGCAATGCTCTTCCCTCTCTCTTGGCACCTCCCACATGGTATCTCAACATCTTACACTGTTTGCATCTCCCCTCCCCTACCGGTCTGCTGCTTTTGAAGGCAGAGGCCATGTTACCCATCTCTGTGTCCCCTTGCTTCACACGTAAGATTGTAGGTAGAACGACTTCTACACCACTTGTTCTCTCTTTGTTTTGTAACGTGTTTACATTTTTCTCCCTCTACTAGAATGAAGCTCCTAGAGCTCCATTTGTATGTGCCACGGCAGCTGGCATGCTTCTCTGTACGAAGTAAGCATGCAATAAATATGTGCTGAATAAATCAATACAGTTTTTGTTCTAATACAGTCCAAAGTGCCAGGAAACTGTGGTGAAGTTTGCTCTGCACACAAAGATAAACAGATAACATAAAATGTTCACAGTACAGGAAGAAGAGGACTTCAAGTTCCTTCTCAAGGACTTCATCATCACAGAAAAGTTTGCCAACGGACCACATGACCTCCCTGGAGAGACCCTGGGGCAGAGAAAGCACATACCTGACATAGAGTGATATGGGCACGACAGTGTTGAGGATGATGATGTAGGACCAGAACGAGAGGAAGCCAGAGAAAAAGGCACTGTCCACCGCCTCATCCCAGGGCAGGTAGACCTGGAAGCGCATCCCAACCTCGTGCTCCCAGATGGCATTGCCAATGGCCAGGATCACCCCCATGCAGACCAGGAATCCAAAAATCTGGGGAGGAACGAGAAGCAGAGGCTAGGCTGCCACTTATGAACCCCTCAAAATCAAGTGCATCCCTGAAGGTCACCACTCATACCCCAAGCCCTCAAAAGCTCAGGTAACTTTAAAATGGTGGCATGTTCTGGTGGGAAGTGCCCAGAACTGGTGACAGGGTCTAGTCTGCCAGCGACCATCACGTGGCCTTCTCTCTGAACATTTTTCTCATCTGTATGACGGGAAGCTGAAGTAGTTGCATAGCTCCCGATCTGACATGCTAGAATAGAACCCTTAGAAGTCTGCAAAGTTGGTAAGAGTGGGGTGAGCTCCTTTAAACATACCAAAGCAGCTTATTGGAAATCACCCATTTACCTGAGCTAAGCCTCTACAAGCCAACAAAAACACCAAGTTTCCATAATGTTCATTATCTCATACAGATGGCCAAAAAAAATTTTAACTAGGGTAACAAATTGTATCTTCATAAATGTAGATTTCTTGATAATCAAAAATCAAAAAGCTTGGAGTCCTTGAAGAAAGTTCATAAGAAGGTTTTGGTGGTGAAAAGAAAAAAATTGAGATCACTACCTGATTTCAGACATCTATTTCCAAAACTGCCTCTACTCTTGATGCTTTGAAACAAAAACAGGGACCATCCTGGTGACCAAGGACCACTAGGGGGCAATGCGTGCCTTTGCGGGACAGACTTAACCTCTCTCCTTCAGGCTGGGTTTCAGAAAACCCTTTAAGGCCAGGGCGGAAATTCTCACCAGACCAGCCTTTGAAAGCTGGCATGTGGGGGGCGGGCAGCAGGCAGCAGAGGCACAAGAAGGGGAGGAGAGCCCGACAAGGAGCTCAAATTTCTAGCCAAACAAGAGAAGGATTCAGGAATTGCCAAAAACCAAAACAGAAACTTTTCCTCTGGGATCCTTCACTCTTAGAAGTCAGGGGAAAAGACCCCGTTATCCATCCTGCAAATGGAAATTTTTCTTTTAATTCCCACACCATCCCCATGAAGGCCTCCTTGTCCCTGGCAAAAGCAAACAGAAGGTCACATGCTGCACTAAGTCATCATCATAACTGGAATCTGGAATCAAGAGAAGGGAAGACTTGTTTTAGCCTTCTTAAGTTGTTGATACATGCACGTTCCTAAGGATTTTAAATAACATATCCCAAGTCTAAAAGGAGCCTGAAATAAACACTGCCTTTGAGTGGCTGACCTGCCAGTGGCTTTAAAGCCAAAACCTGAAGGCTGACTACTAACCAGGGAGGTGAGATGGGAGCAAAGGAACTGCCCAGGGAGAACCAGAAGGGCAGGGGCAGGGAAC